AGTGGGGGTGGGGGGTCCTCTCTTTTTAACAAAGAGAGAACACACTAAGGGTCCAGAGGCTTTGAAAGGCAAACAACAGTAAGTCAGGATATGGTGCAATAGTTTGTTCCATTCCATCTATTTCCTCATTGTTTTCGACTTATGACACTGATACTTTTTTTGGTAGTAGTAATGTTTCCTTTAAAAACAAATCTAAGTAAAAAGAAGTGAGTCGATGTAAGAAAATGTTACATGAGTCACTGTAATGGTTTTTAAATATGATAAAAATCATAATGATCTTGAGAAAAAACCATCAAGCTTTGAGAGACTGTCTTCAGTCAAGCCCAATAAGAGTATGCTGCAATAGCAAAATCCCCATCTCCAGAGCAGCAGTGCATCGCTCCCCTCCGGTGCATTTCCCTCCTACGCCGGCAGGCGGCTCTCCTTACAATGGTAACTCCATTCCTACCCCGTCTCCACTGCATCCAGAGCACCAGTTCTTACAGCTTCTGCCTTCTGTGACTCAGTTGGCTTCTGCTTACATCTCATTGGCCAAGACAAGTCTCATGGGCTCATCCATCGTCAAAGGAAGCACGGAAGTGTAATGCTACCGTGTTTCTGAAGGGAGAGAACTGGGAAGGTTTCGAACAACCCACAGATCGACTATGGTCCAGACAGGTGGGCTGAGTCATGACCTATTGGATTTGTCTGACTTTGACCAAGTGGCCCTCACCGCTTGTTCCCAGGGAAGGGAGCTTGCTCCCCAAGGAGAAGGCTACACCATTGGATTAGCAGATACCTAAGCTCCTTTGGGTTTGGCAGGTGCTCTAATTCATACCTGGTGAGTTTATGTCTGTTCTCTGCAGGGAGATGAGGCGGTGTGGACTTTGTGGACTTTGGCTGAGCGGGGATTTGGGTTTGTTACTACTTTGAACAGACATCCGGGAAGGGTAACTGGAAAGGGGTGGCATCCAGGGTAGGGCCGGAGTGGGTGGGAACTCTTCCTTCACAGAGGAGTTTTCAAAGTGGGGCCTAAGGGTGCCCTGCACCAGAAGCACCTAGAAGCTTAGGGAACTTCTGATGTCTGGGCCCTCTGCCCACCCTGGAGCTTGGCAGTAGGACCCCAGGCATCAAATTTTTAGGAATGTCCCCAGCCCTAAAAATTCTGATTCTTATGGACACTGGAATTTGAGGAGCTCTGAATTACTGAGGTCTAGGACATTTTGCTTGGTAGACAGTAGGTAGCAACAAAAAGTATTCTATGCTTATAGAAGCTTTGCAGGGAAAAGAGAGTTTAAGATATCATATATGCTCCTACATTTAGAAGGGTTCAAACTCTTTTTTTTTTTTTCCAATTTTACTGTTTATGAATGGTCTCTACATATACATATGGCGTTCACATCAGCGATTATTGAGTTGAGGAGTGCATTGTAGTTAAGAAGTTACCAAGAGAGGCTGGCTACTGACACTTTGTTGTGATCAATAACACTGAGGTCAATGATCAGCACTGCTACAGAAATTGTTTTTTGTTCATTTAACCAGAGATGATCACTGTGTGTATTCATATATTATTTCAACTGCCCAAGTATAAATCTGATTTCCTTTCTCTGCAAAGTATTTCTAGATCGCTACCTCATCAGCCAGAAATATCTTTTGCCTCTGGGTGTCCATAGCATTTTTCTTTTTTTTTTCCTTTTTCTTTTATTATTCATTATTCATATGTGCATACAAGGCTTGGTTCATTTCTCCCCCCTGCCCCCACCCCCTCCCTTACCACCCACTCCACCCCCTCCCTCTCCCCCCTCCAATACCCAGCAGAAACTATTTTGCCCTTATTTCTAATTATGTTGTAGAGAAAGTATAAGCAATAATAGGAAGGAACAGGGTTTTTGCTGGTTGAGATAAGGATAGCTATACAGGGCATTGACTCACATTGATTTCCTGTGTGTGGGTGTTACCTTCTAGGTTAATTCTTCTTGAACTAACCTTTTCTCTAGTACCTGTTCCCCTTTTCCTATTGGCCTCAGTTGCTTTAAGGTATCTGCTTTAGTTTCTCTGCATTGAGGGCAACAAATGCTAGCTAATTTTTTAGGTGTCTTACCTATCCTCACCCCTCCCTTGTGTGCGCTCGCTTTTATCATGTGCACATAGTCCAATCAGAAGGGTTCAAACTCTTAATTGTTAACCACAGTTCCTTGACCTCAGCACAATTGATTTTTCTCCTCAAAAATCTTTTCAGACCTTCGTCCAACAAATATCAGTTAAGCACCTATTATTTGTTTAATTCTAAACTGTTCATATGATGTGGGGAATATGTTCCATAGAGAGTGCAACAGTCAAGTCCATCTTAACTGGAACTGAAGAAATGGAAGCAGATAGTCCACAAGTAACCGAACATATGTGCAATTTCAAATTAATACAAAATGCTAAGAAGTAATAGATACTGGATGGGAGAATAAAGGAGCAAGGGATAAAGAGAACCCACATAAACATGTAGGAAAGTCTTCCCAGAGAAAGTTACAGTTAAGTCTGAATCTGAGGGGTTTTTGTTGTTGTTTGGTTGTCAGACTTTTTGATTGTTTGTTTTCTCAGCCATGGAAAGAATCCTGTCCAGGACAGAAAGGAAAAATGGAAGGGGAAAAAAAAGTCAGTGGTGGCAGCCACTTGGGGTGGGGTAAATGAATGAAAGGAGGCAGGTGATGGAGGGATGTAGCAAGGAGGTTTGCCTGCCGCTCAGTCTGTGGCAGAGGTTTTTATGCGCTTCATCATAAATGCACAGGAAGTGGTAAAAGTTCAAGTAGGGGAGGAATCTGGCCCAGTGTGTTTGTACAAGATGGCCTAAGCCCCTGGGTGAAGAGGAGGCGATAGGGGAGCCAGAGTGGAAAAGGAAGAGAAGAGTCTCAGAAATGGGACCCCACTGAACATGACTGTGAAAATTCTAGATATTATTGTAGGTGGCCAGACTGAGTTTTCTGATGGCTTGGGAGGGATGGAAGGAAGGACACAAAGAGAGTGACTCTCAGGATTAGGGCTTGAATAGCGAGATGGGGAGGGGTGGTGATTATGACATGTAGCTATCACAATTATTCTTTCAATGATTGAGAAGTGGAAGCAAACCGTCCTACTGTGCAAAGCTTTGTGTATGTGTAACTCCAAGGACATAGTTTTTCCATTCTCATGAATTTTCATACTGGGAGGGTGAAATTTTCATACAGTAATATCATAAATACCCCTGAATGCAAATGAGAGCTTCCACCTGGAGCCGGCACAAAGCCTGGGACCTTCCTCAGATGCACCTGCACACTGCCACTAGGTGTGGGACACGCTGTTTCCTAGATTCTGGATAGGCCTCGGGAACTGGTTTTGAAATCTTGCATTCCGATTGGTGCAGTATCGTCGAGCCGTGATTGGTGCAGTAGCGTGCCGAGCTGGCTTCCTCCGGATTTGGAGAGACGTAGTCCGTCTGGGCCTGTGATTGGTGGGATAGTGCGGTCTCTGCTGTGATTGGTGAACACCATGTGGCTCGCTAGCAGTTTTGAGCGCTAGTTCCCACATTGGCCACTAGGAGGAGCCCGGGAAGCGTAAAGGGCGGCGCTGGGCGGGCCTGGACTGTCTCCTTCCCGCGCGCTCCTGCTCAGTGCGCAGAGCCAGTCGTGCCCCGCGCCCCGCCGCAGCCGCGGGCCAGGGACAGGGCGGTGAAAGGGTGTTAGGGCTCCCAGCTCTGGCCAGGTGGCCACGCTTCTCTGCGCAGCTCCTTTGGCCCCTTCCTCTGGCTCCCAGCCCCGCAGAGGACATTGGCTGACCCGAGGGGTGGGGCTGCGGGTTCGCGAAGGTTTGCGAAGGCCCGGATCCAAGTTGCAAGATTGCGAAGTCTAGCGAGTGACTCAGCAACCGCCGTCTTCTCCGGTTTAACAGCCTCCTCCGTGCGCTGTAAGATCCTCAAAGGGCCTTGCCTATGCAGCACCCCTTTGGACTCAGAGCTGTCCCCTGCAGGTGAAGGCCACTACCTCAGATCACTCCCTATCTGTCCCCAGGTGCTGTCACGTGGTGCTGTTTCATTATCCACTCTGCACTTAACCACTATTTGAAATTTACTTCTTTTTTAATTTACCTGCTTACTGTGTACCTCCACCGAGGGAGGATAGGGAGGGTTGCCAGACTCAATCCAGAACTCTGTTACACTTGGATGGAAGATGAACCGCAAACCACGCATTATTTGGGATATGCTAAACATTATTCCAGGTTAACAGTCAGCCCTGAGGAGGAGGGGTCTTACTTCTTGTCTCGGCTACTGCACCCACAATAATGGTGGGGAATAAATGTCCCATGTCCGGATGGGCAAGTGCCTTCACCTGTTCCCTCATTTATTCTGCCAGCCCATTTAAACTGAGCATCAGCTGGGTCCTGGAACTAATAAGCAGGACACAGTCCAGCAAAGGAGTCTGACAATCACCCTCTGGTTAAACTCTGATATAAAGCCCTGGGGGCTGTGGGAAGACAGAGAAGAGCCCCCAAAGCATTTCAGAATCAGCAGAACTTCCCAGAGGAAGATGACCAGGAGGTGATGAGAGAGGTGTGACAGCGCCCTGGGAGAGACTCACCTTCCCCAGTGTCACTACCTACCACAGACCTAAGAGTGATGCCAGTGTGACTTTAAGGTGTCCATCCTATAGATAGAGAAACTGAGGCTTGAAGAGGAAGTGCTGGAAAAGCTGCCAGGCTGAGAACCAGTGCCCCAAATGAAGGATGAAGAATCTGAGGCTCAGGAGGGGCCCAGCTGTCCCTGTAAATGTGACTCCTCAGTTTAGCAGGAGAACATGGGAGATGGCAGGAAGGCCAGGGCAAACCCCAGGGTGCAGTCCTGTGCCTCCCATTCCTGTTTGGATTGGATCCTCAGGGGCCCCTTGTTGATCCCTGTGGCTAATTCCTCACATTGGTCCTGCCCAGTCTCCATAGAGACCACCTCCCACCATCCCTGAAATCTCATTGTGACTAGAATTAAGAGATTAACTCTCTGGCAGCCCTCAAAGGGTCTTGGGTGCCAGGGTGGCAGCAGGAGCTGGTTCAAGGATGAAGAGGTTGCCTGCTGTGTGCGACCCCATAGCACCAGGAGGAGGATGGCAGACGGGGACAAGGGCTTCCCCCAGGATCCACCAGGTACCGTCTGATTCCACATCTGTCTGGAAGGAAGCATGGGTGGCAGGAGAGAGCCCTGGAACCAAGGGGAAGAGTCCAGAGTCTGCAGCCATGGGGAGAACTTTATCCCCAGCCCCCGATCCAGGAAGGCCAAAGGCCTTAATGGGTGAATGATGTTCCGGCCCAAACAAGATCCAGCCAAGTGAGGGGAGTCCTATAGACTCCTTTTGGGCTACTCCAGGCTGCCTAAAGACCAGGTGTCTAATATTCGTTTTGCAGTTGGGGAAACTGAGGCACAGATATGGGAAAGTGACCTGTCTAAACTTGATGAACAAAGCAGGTCAAGAATCCAGAGGAAACCCAGAAGTGGCCTAAACAGAGAACACTGGTTAAAATCTCATTGACACTTCTGCCTTGAATTCTTCCTTGTCTTCCAGAAATAGGTCCCCAGGCTCCTGCCCCAAGGGACATGACCCACCAGCCATGCCTCCTTCCCTCCTTCCTCTCCTCCCCTCCTGGTGTCCCTGCTGCTGCTGGCCCTCACAACTTGAGACTGGCAGAGAATTCTGGTTAGGCTCTGTGATGGCAGATGGCACAGCCCTGAAGCCCTGACTGGGCCACCCAGGGGGGACCCACTCATTGAGTCCCTATTTGGATGACTTGTTCCATACTTCATCTCTCTTTAGGAACTTGAGGCCCACACACCATGGGGGCTCCCAGCCCATCCACCTCCTCTTGCCTAGGAAGGCCAGGCCTGCATTGAGATTTACGCCCAGCTCCAACCTAGGCCAGGCTTCCTGGAAGGCCACATTGAAGCAGGGAGACAAACACCGGCTCTGGAGCCAGGGAGAGAGAGTTCAAACACCATGACTGGCTTAGTGAGAAAACAGTGTTCCCTGTCTGAGCTGTTTTCTCCGCTGTCAAAGCTTTAATGGTTAAGGCAAAACCCCTAGCCCATAATAGTAAATGAAATAGGCAAAATGCAGAAATATAAGAGGTGGGGGACAGGGGTGATGATACCAGGTCTCATAGGGTCCTCTGCTTCCAAGCTTCCAGAACACTTGGAAACTACTTGGGAGAAATGGCCACTAGTGGTGTAGAAGTGGGGGACAGTAAGTGACCAGGAGACAGCAGGGAAACAAGACCTCTCAACAGGTACCTTTTTATATTTTGAACCATACGAATGTAGTAATGATTCAAAAATGCAAAAAAATTGATTAGGTAAAGTAGACATAATAATATGTAATCATCCACACTTCAATAGCATGGCAGGTGTACAGCCAAGATTTCAACCCTTATACTAGAGTCCATGTCACTGACCCTTGACCTGGAAAGGCCCTTTGTTTTAAGCCATAGCCTGTTGCCAGTAACAACAGTAATAACCACTGATATCTGGAATCTGAGCCACCTACATGCCAAGACAGTGTGAATTTCATCCATGAACTAGCATTCTGACTTCACAAGGACTTTATCATCCATCCCAGATGGGGAGACTAGATCTCACGGCAGTTTTGACTAGTAAGTTGCAGTATGTAGTAAAACTTGGACCCACATCAGGGCATTTGTAGCCCATAATTGTGGCTGTATATCAGAATCATCTGGTTATGTCAAAAGATCCTGATGCCTAACACCTCCCATCCAACCCCAAGATTTGATCATTGGTCTGTGAGGGGGGTGTGGGCATCTTTTTGTTTGTTTTGGTGTGGTGCTGGGGAGAAACCCAGAGCCTTGTGCATGCTAGACAAGAACCCTACCACTGTGCCCTGGCATCTGTTCTTTTAAAGATCCCAGATGGTTCTGTTTTGTTGTCTTGGTTAAATCTCTTCTTTATTCTAGATGAACTTTCCAAATGGGAAACCAAGTCTAGGGTGGAAAATGACCTTGCCCAAAGCCACACAGTGACTAGAACCAGAGCTGGGACAGGGGGCCCAGAAGCTTTTCAGGGAAACTTTGTGCAAGCAAGAAAAAGGCATCCCCCTCTGGGCAGGCCACGCTCCAAGGGCTTTGGAACAAGGGCTGGATTCCCACCCCCACTCAGCCCTCTTGGCTGGAGAATGCTTGTGCAATGAGCAACCTGTACAGCTGTACACCGTGATCCTGGCCTGAGTCTCAGGACTTCCAAACACTTTGTTTCAGTGACCTCCAGACAAATCCCTGGGGCCCCTCAGAATAAGAATCCGGGAAGATGAAGGGTCATTTCTGGGTTGCAGATTCATTCCTCACCTCCAAGACTAGGAACTGGACCAGACAGGAGCTCCCCATCACCCTTCAGACCCCACCAGGACAAGACGGGTCCTACCTATCTCCCAAGGTCACCCCTGCAGATAAAGTCAGGAAAAAAACAAGAAAGATGAACATAAACAGGAGAATAGCAACACCCTTGGCCCAGATGTCACAAGCCACCTGGAAGCAGGCAGGTAGCCCACAGGGACCCAGCTCCTCCTGGCTTCCTTTTTGATCAGTACCCAGACCATCCTCTCTACCTGAGCCTTGCGGTCAGCATCTCTCGTAATGCCCAGCTCTCTGCCCATTCCCTTCTTCTGTCCAGCCTTCACTGAACACTTAATATGTTGCAGTCCTGGAAGGATGGGGTATCCATAGGGTTAGAGCACAGACTCTGGAGCCAGCTTGGATTTGAGTCTTACCCCTTTTTTCTTATCAGCTATGTGAGCATGGGCACACACTCTGTGCCTGTGGTCTGTAAATTGGTGATAAAACACTGCCTAAGCCACAGAGTGGTGTGAGAATTCATGAATTAAGGCACAGGAATCCCCTAACACAGCCAAATGGAGCACATCTTTGGCTCCATTTCATCCTCATGACAATCTGAGGAGTTAGGTATTGTCTCAATTTACGGGGGAGCAAACTGATGATCAGAAGATCAAGAAAGTCAGGGCAGATCTCCGTGTCTTTCTCTGGGGCTTGATGCCTCCAGAGATAGGACGTGACCAAAACAGGCTGTGACATGGAGCCTGTGGTTTGCAGCTCGTGTTGCTGGTCCCACCATCAGAGGGCCCTAGGACACAGGGTCAGATGAAGTCCCCCGAGTGGGTCTCCAGTGGCCCTCAGGCACCTCTTTGCTTCTGTCCAACCTTGGGAGGGACAGAAGAAGGGTGGGGGTTGGGACATAGGCAGAGACATCTAGTTGCTGAGGTCCTTCAGACCCCAGAGAGTGCCCCATCACCCTGTCCCAGCTGGAGACCGAGGATGCCTGGGATGACTGTGGTTTTGGATGAGTCAAGATTCCCTTCTGTGTCCATCTCCGGGTCTGCACACCAGAGGATGAGGCTGGACCAGTGCTTTCCTGATATTAAGAAAGATCACATCTACAAGGGCATCACTGGGCATCCTCTCTGGGCTCCTGGGGACCTCAGAACCCAGCTTGAAAAGCCCCAGCCCACGCCCTCCTGAAGATTCTCCAGGCTCTGACACCGCAGGATTCTAATATCCCAAGCTCAGAGCTCCTGCTTCACATCTCCCTTTGAAACGCTCCCCCACTGCCTTTATCTCTCTTTGGTAACAAAGCAAATTTGCTCAGGACCCAGAGCAGGGGTGCAGGCAGACTGTTGACTCTGGAGCAAAACTCCCCTTCGGAGGGCCAGAGGAGGCTGTTGGCTGTGCATGTGGAGGCCAGCGGCCTCTTGCATAATCTGGGAGGCCTCTTGCCCACCCAGGCCTTTTCAGGGTTAGGGGTGAGGCAAACCGCAAACTCATGCCCAGTTAATTTTTTAAGGCAAAATCAACAGGTTCAACAATGATTAGCAGGCAAGGTAAGTTCATCTTGATCATGAGGAGTGGAGGGAGGGAGGAAGAGGCTGGTGGAGGCCCAGGGATGGGGCCCAGTTATCAGTTAACCACATGAATGTTGTTTCCTTCCAAACCCACTGGCCTTCAGCCTCAGCTCCTTCATCTTCCTCTCGGAAATAGTCCCGTGGCAACCAGGTGGCTATCAGTCATTGAGTGAACAAACACCCAGCCATCCATGGTCTGTAGGATCCGAAGCAAAGGGGTCCCCCTTGTTAAGACAAACCTCACACACCTCTCCTGAGTTGCCCCAGACCAAGTCCCTTCCACCCTCTAGAGCTCAGTGAGGGTCTACAGTCAGTTCTATGGTCCAACCTACAGTTGCTGCCACTTTTTGAGGGCCTCAGTGTCTCCATCTGCCAAATGGGTGGGTTAGGGAGACAGCCCTTTAGAGTCCTGAAGTTTGGGAGGTCCCAGCAGGATTTAGCCCTGGAGGAACATGTAGGGTTTGGGAGTTCAGGGAGGAACAAGGAAGCCCAGATAGGTAGGGTGCCTACCTGGTATCTGTTGCTGGCACCAGTGAGCCTCAGGTCCCAGCTCCAGGAAGAGGCTGTCCTCCCAAATGGGAGGCCAGGGGTTCCTTGAGAGATGGCCCAGGAGAGACCCCAGCTACCCAGAACTCCAACTCCCGATCTTGGGAGCGGCCAGGCCAGCCTGGGGCCAGGTGGCTGCCTGGATTGGAGTTTGGTCAGCAGTTGGGGACCTATATTGTGAGATAGTTAGGACTTTGTCCACAAACTGGAATTTGAAATTTCAAAGGGGCAAAACTGAAGGGCCCTACCCCAGAGTGGAGATGGCTCTTGGCTTCTTTCCCCCACGACTTTTGTTCTTTGTCTCGATAAGTTCTGGTTTCCCCTGCACCACACCCCACCCCACCAAGTGGGGGTGGAAGGAGAGGAGATAGTGGAGTGGTGAGAACCAAGGGAAAGCCAAGGTGCCAGGTGGCCCTGGGGTGGCCAGGTGTCTGCAGGCTGCCGCTAGACCTGCATGTACCCAGTAACAGGCCTTGGCTTCCCAGCAGCACCCGGATGGCGAACCCAGCTAGAACCAGCCCCAAGCTCTAGGATTATGAAGTTCTTCTGGGGATTTGTGAGTGGGGAAACTTGGAGAGGGGAGCCCTGAGCCTCTATAGTCAGATTGGGTTCAAATGGCAGCCCCTCTGGTTCCACTCTTCATGGCCTGAGGGAAGAAACTTCACCTCTTTGAGCCTCTGTTTT